CAACATAGCACTAAATGTCTGACTGATTTTGAAACGAAATTAAACACATTAACTAAAGAACTACGAGAAAGTCGTGCAGAAAATGATTTTGTTGAAGCAGACCTTCAACAATGGAAAACACAATTAACAGAAATGAACAACGAATTGGATAAACTTTCAACCATTATGACTCAACAGTATTTGACACCATTAATCACTACAATTCATGTTAATGCATCAGGTAATCTCTCAATATGATATTTTTGAAGTGTTGAAATATAAATATACTCAAGCTAAACTAATTATAAACAAATTATATGTTATTCTTCTTTACATGCTTTGAAATATAATATTTGTGAAAATCAAACAACAGTATCTGATTCTCATCTGTCTCTTTCTGTTAGGATCAACGATCAGAAATAGACTTTAGAATATAGTATCGATATGATTATAATAAGTTTTCGTTATCGAAGGTTTTCATCAGTTACAGTGCTACCAATTAGCACATGTGCAATATTGTTCGGTTAACCAGAAAATGTTTGGGGACTTTTACTAAAAGTTTTAGAAGAAAATAATTTTTAAAGTAGGAATATTCAAAATCGATAAATGTACACTCTATCAAATAAAAACTAGAAGATAAATTAGGATAAGCAAATAAGTTTCGCGGAACATTAAGTGTTTTATTGTATATCTTCATCAAATGATTGTATTTCCATAATCTATGTGACAAGATTTATTGAAGATGAGATTATTTTGATCACTAAAAACAGAATCTTTTGCTTTTACGTCGATCACGATTTTTAAATAATTCTTTTGTTGCATGTGTATATCTTATTTTAGTCTCTTCGTATTTACCAAATCTTGGTATGGATGCAAAATGGATACAAAATGGTATCACAGTAGCTGGTGGCAATGAACAAGGCAGTAGAAATAATCAATTATCTTCTCCACATAGTCTCTACATGGATGAAAATGAAACTATGTACATTGCTGACTTTAGTAATCATCGTATTGTTGAGTGGAAACGTGGTGCACGAAATGGTCAAATAGTTGCTGGGGGAAATGGATCTGGAAACCGTGATTATCAATTGGAGAATCCAACAAGTGTTATAGTTGACAAAGTAAATGATTGTCTTATTATCTCGGATTTTGGTAATCGAAGAGTGATACGGTGGCCACGTCGGAATGGTACAAGTGGACAAACAATCATCTCGAACATTAATTGTCTTGGATTAACAATGGATAGTGAAGGATATCTCTATGTTTCTGACTACGTTAAACACGAAGTGAGACGTTGGAAAATGGGAGATACAAATGGAATAGTAGTGGCAGGTGGGAATGGACAAGAAACTCGAGCTGATCAGTTGAACCAACCTTGGGGCATTTTTGTTGACAGAGAGAACTCATTGTATATATCAGATAGCGGAAATCATCGAGTGATGAAATGGATGAAAGATGCAAAGGAAGGTATTGTAGTTGCTGGTGGTCAAGGCTTTGGAAATGGACTGGCACAGCTGTCATATCCTATAGGTGTGTTAGTTGATCAACTAGACAATGTTTATGTGGCAGATCAAGGTAATTGTCGAGTAATGCGTTGGTCTAAACATGCTACACAAGGCAGTATCATTGTTGGCGACAATAAACGTGGAGCAGGAGCAAATCAACTTAACAATCCTTTGGATTTGTCATTTGACCGACAAGGGAATCTTTACGTCGT